CACAAGAAACAGTGTAGAGCTGGCACGATGGCTCAGTGGGTAAATCCATCAGTCGTAAAACCTGACAGATCTGAGTTCAATCCCTGGGTCTTACACAGTAGGAGATAACTGACTTCTTCAAGTCACTCTCTGATCTATTCTCTCTCTCTGTCTGTCTCTCTCTGTCTGTGTCTCTCTCTCTCTCTCTCTCTCTCTCTCTCTCACACACACACACACACACACACACACACACACACACGAAATTTAAGTTTTGTTTTTAAAGGAAATGAAGAGTCAGACCATCAGCATTGCTTTCTCCTCAGATCGCTTCTGTACCTGGGTCATCTGGAGGTGTTGCCCCCTCTGAGGGAGGGCCTTCTCCCCTCGGCTAATCCTCACACAGGTGTGTCTCTTAATTGATTCCAAATTCCAACAGGTTGACAATCAGCCATCGCTGTGGCTCTATGCTTACCAAAGCAAATATGCCTCCAGATGAAAAGACAAAACCCCCATGGGACTTCTTACTACAGAACAGCCACCTCCAAGAGCCTGGCATACTAGAAGATGGGTTTTCTTTTCCTGTGAGGTAGGAAACAGAACCCTCAGGCTACAAACGCATCCAGGGAATAGAAAACCAGCAGGAACTGGTTGAAGACGTGGACATTTTGCTTTCCTCCAGCGCAGGCGGTGGCAGAGCAGGGAAGAAGGTGAGAACTCGGCAAGCCAGGAGCTGTTACGAATGTGCACCGTATGCCTCCTCCACTCCCCAGAGTTAGGCAAAGCCGAGCGGAAACCAGGCATCACTGGGGCAGAGAAAGATGTGGAGATTGACGTAAATTTGACTGCGTTTGTCTAAAAGCAAGTGGATCGAGGAGATGGGAAGAGTTAGGAGAGGAGTCAGTGAAGGACAGTGCTTAACTCTGGGTGAGAAGGAATTTTTAGCTGGGAGGCACTTAGAGGTATCAAGCAATCAGCGCTATATCCCATGTTAAGTTAGATGGCACCTATGTTACTTTTCATTCCTCTCCGCCTAGACCATTCCACAATACATCTAAAAAAGGTATGTATACTCCTGCTTCACTAGAGAGATAAACTGTGTGGGACCATAATATATCAGCCTCAAATGATGTATGGGAGAACTACGAAGAGGCTAGTTTTTTGTGCTTTTTTTTTTTCATATGAAATGAAAACTGTGGTTTAAATGTTAACTAACATGAAGTCCTGTAGCAACAGGGAGATAAGTAATGCTGGGCCATCTGTAAACACTCGCTGGAAGCAGGAAACAGGCTGTTTTCTGTTATGAGGCTCCAGAGACATTGGGCTCTACTATCACCCAGGAACCCAGTTCTAAAGTAGATGGTTGCATGAGGTCTCAGAATTATTTCCCCGGAGCCCTGTGCACTGTGTCCCGCCATTCAGCAGACTGTGTGAGTGTGTGTGTGTGAGTGTGTGTGTGTGTGTGAGTGTGTGTGTGAGTGTGTGTGAGTGTGTGTGAGTGTGTGTTTGCGTGTGTGTGAGTGTGTGTGTGTGCTATAGGGAGTCTAGATAAGTTCAGAACCTCCACACTAAGCAAGCAGATAAATTACCAATGTCCAAGCACCACCTCTCACTTTTGATATAGAATACTGATGTTTCTAGAATCCCCATGTTTCATGCTGCCTTTTTTTTTAGTCTTTTTTTTTTTTCAGGATAACCAAGTGGGAGAAACATAGTGGTAAACTAGGTATTCACTGTTGTTGTTCTGACTGATGGAGTAAAAGGAGCCCTATTCTGAAGGGGGATGCCCTTCCCCAATAAGGGCCCAGCTACAGCTTCTCAGGAGGATCCCAGCCACGGGCACTGCCAAGCGCCAGGGCAGAGAGCTATAAGCAGGGTAAGTCAGCTAACAGCAATATTGCTGGAGGCAGCAGCACGCATACCTAGCCATAGCCAAATAGGGCCACCTCCTGATCAGCAGACTGCGTTTCACTTAATGTCCATGTTAGAAGGAAAGAAAACAGTACCTACATATATAGATTCACAGGGACCTTTGCTAAGATGATTGTGAGGCTGAGATTAATATCCTTCATGCCTTCTTGTATTAACTCTCTGAATGAGTGAATTAAGAGGAGCTAAAGTGGCACGCCTGAATGGAACCACAATTAAGATAAAAGGTGATTTATGCATCATTTTTACAAAACAATGAAGATGGAATACACCATTTGTGCTCAGTCATCAGCACACAGCTTTCAATTTCTCCATGACTGAAGGATGATTGTTTCCAAGGGCTCATTTAATATAGGTCTGACATCATTTAGCGTAATATAATAAACTCAATCGGAATTTCATTTATGAAAATTAATGGGATCATGACCTCACCATAATAGTTTGCAGTCAAGATGCAAGTTTGTTGAGGAAAGACAAGATTCTCTCACTGGGATTTACTAACAGGTCTGAATCTCTCTGAAAGTACCTTCAAGAAATCAGAATCTGGGAACTGGAGAGTGCTTGTCCTCCAAGCAGGAGGACCTGAATTTGACCTCCAGGGTCAACATTTTTTTTAAAGTAATGGGAAGATCTAGATAGGATTCCTGGGACTTGCCAGCCAGCTAGCCTAGTCTACTTGGTGAGATTCAGGCAAGTGAGAAACCCTGACTCAAAAGTGGATGGAACCTGAGGAAGGACATCTCAGGTTATCTCCTGGCCAATGCCCTCTGCTCTCTCACACAATTATACTCATTTAAGGAGAGAAGATCAGATTTTGATCAACCGTACTAGGCTTTTTCTAGAAGAATAGACTTTTATGAAAGTATTTCAAAGTAAGGCTGTTTGCCCAGCTTGTGTTAATCAACACTAAACTGCTTTCACCATTAGGATTTTATTGCAATTATAAGTCCAACCCTGAAGCTGAGATGAACTGGATGGAAGGGAAAGAAAATGCCTCCATTTAGGATATCTTGGGTGAAGGGACAGTCCTAGGGCTGTGCAAGCCATCTGTGAAAGGTCCATCAGGCCCAAACTGGCATACGCCTGCATGGGAGAAGAGCCAAGATGAATGAACTACATAAAAAGCAGATGGGATGGGACCTAGATGGGGTGGTGGAGGGATTCCATGGCCATGGTGGGCAGCATCCATAGATGCTGGGCATGGGGAGGGGGTTCTTTTGTGTGTGGCCTGGGGCATCTTACTGGCACAGGAACTGACATGAAAAAAGGCTTAGGTACCAGGAGTCAGTGAAACTCCACACCTCCAGGAGATAGATGGCAGTCCACGACACTGGCATCGCCCCCACCTCTCCTGATGTGCCTTCCTCTCTACTCTAGAGACAAGAAACCTGGAGACCATGCATCCCAGACTTCCCCACACTGAGAAAATCAGGTGCATTTATACAAAATGGAAATTTAGAACCACATGGAACTTTTCTGGTGTTAACTTTTCTTGACCACCCTGCTCCAGCAAGGCATTAAAAGGTGCCTGATCCTGAATCCATTATGAGGTATAGTGACTTTCTGGCCACAAACTTTCTAATTAAAGCATACGTTTTGCAGGGTCTTGCTTTTGCTTTGTTTTGTTTTTGTATTTGTTTTTTTATCATCTTGATCCTAGAGACCCAGACTAGAATTTGCTGCTATGATCCTTCCAAATGCTTGCAATCACACATTTCCTGCCTTCCAATGCCTTTTCTGTTAATGAACAGTTGGAGTCTTGGACCACAGCCTTCCATAGGACCAGTTATTCTGATTTCATGCCTGGAATCCCAAACCAATACCCCTTAGAGAAGAAGCATTGAAATAGTAATAGATGGATTTCTTCTGTTTTGCTTCTCATTCCCCTTCTCGTTCAGAACTAGCTTCATTTCCTTCCTTCCTCCCTTCCTTCTTTCCTTCCTCCCTCTCTCCATCTGTCTTTCATGATTTCATGAAGTTTTTCTTCTCTAAATAAGGTAAGAGTTTTAACAGCAGGAAGAAAATCTCAAAGAAATTTGGTGAGACTGTTAACACAGCTTAGATCTCCAAAAGTGAACTCTCCCCATAGCTCAAGTTCCAGGCGCCGTGTGCATGACAGGAACCATAGGCATGCATATTTCAGAGCCAGCGCTAGGGCAGAAGATGTGTGACTGTGCTTCACACATCGGAGGGAGAACATCCCAGGGATGCAAGGTTCTCCTGAGTTCCCCTGGGTGGCAGAGTAGCAGTGCTGTAGGTAGCTGGGGCACTTCTCAGCTAAACAAATTTACTGTGAAATCCAGAGCTCTCACTTTCAAAGTGAGAGGTGGAGATGAACACACTATGTTGTCTGAAAGCAGACGTCAGTCCAGCTATTGAAGACAGCTGCCCAGTTCCCTTAGAAAGCTCTCAGTGTCATACTTCCTCTTGTGAGGTGGCCATGAAAGGACACCAGTGGTCTGGGATTGGTGGAAAAGAAAACTACATGGAGAACTGATGTCTGTGAGGTATTGTATTTGTCAACTGTCTTGTCGCTGTGACAAAACACCCAACAAAAGCAACTCAAGGGAGGGTTTATTTTAGCTTGAAGTTCAAGGGTACAGTCCATAACTGCTGGAAAACCATAGACACGGGAGCCTGAGGTAGCTGGTCAAACTGTAGCTGTGGTCAGAGAGCAGGCAACAGGGGTGCTGGAGCTTGGATGCCTTTGCTTGCAGCCTGAGACCAAAGCCTTCCCACTTTTAGGTGGGTCTTCCTACTTCTTTAAGTCTAGTCTAGAAACTACCTCACAGACATGCTCAGAGCTCTGAATCCCCAGCACTTTAGATACCCCCTATTTAACAATATTAACATCACAGGCATGTTGGCACATTTTTCCACAGCTTGGAGACACTTATTTGAACAGTCACCCTGGTGAAGGGTTAACTTTTTAGACTACACCTGCCCCGTTAAATAAAGAGTTAAAGTTCAAATTTAACATGGACATGTCCTGTGATGCCTAGAACTACTAGAAGTATTTCAGGGGAGGAAGAGATCATTTGAAAGTACATGGCACCAGAAGCTAATGTGTGGGAAATTATTTCCATAACAGATGTGTCACATTGTAAACAGAAAAATTGGATCTTTGCTGCATCAGAAACACTGGATGTCCTTCCTGCTGGAAAACATTAATTTGGATGTGGACTACACCTCCCCACAAAGGCTCATGCTTTAAGGACTTGGTCCTTGACTGGTGATGTTATTGGGAGGGTGGTAGAAACTTCAGGAAGCAAGGCCAGATTGGAGGAAGTAGGTCAATGGAGTGTGTTCTTGAAAGATAGGGATGGGGACCCTAGATGATGATGGTGATGATGATTCCTCCTCTCCCTCCTCCTCTCTCCCCCTCCTCCTGTTCCTCTTTCTCCTGCTTTTGGTGCTTCTGCTTACTCCCCATCTCTCATTCCCTCCTCCTTCCTGGATACCATGAGGAGAGCAGCTAGGCTCTATCAAACACTCCCCACCATGATATATTGCCTCAGTGTAGAAAGAAAGATGCTAAGTGACCATGGGCTGAAACTAGGGACTGTCATAATTCTTTCTTTTTAAGGTTGCTTGTCCTGGACATTTTGTTACAGCAACAGAAGACTAACAGAATCCTCCCCATCTCCTTATTTGTTTTGTTTTATATGTAACAATACAAAGAAGAATTTATTGGCAGGGTATAACCTTTATGAATAGCATCCTAGAAAGTGTGTTTGTGTGTGAAATGCCGCATTTTATCAACTCTACTAAGAGAAAGCGTGAGTTCTTTCTCTATTCTACATGATTGAAAGGTATTTGGAAATTATTATCATATACAGATAGTTGAAAAACAAAGGACAAAATATTGAACAGAGATTGTAAATCAGAAAGTATTTTTCTAGATTTTTGATGCTTGTGGTATGTTAGTTGTTTTAATGCATAATTTGTTGTGTCTCTTTTTCAGAGAATCATTCACTTTGTGTTCTATTCATTGCAGGTCATAAAGAATTAACCCCTGGTTTACACCACAGTGTTTGTCAACCCCTTAAAGGGGCCACACACATTGTGACAGGGTGGTATTCCAGATCTGTGTTCAGGGAAAGAAAGATGTGTGGTTTGTCGCAAGAGGTTTCACCCAGGGCAAAGGCGCAAACAATAGAGGTCACATGGTAGAGAAAGTCATGGGCCAACACGGAGAGGACAGCTTGCAGAGCAGACTTCCTCCTCAATGGTGGATAATGACTAAGTCCCCCCATTACCACTCTATCCCAAAGAACAAAACAAACATAGAAACGAAACTTCTTGAGTTGCTTTAAATGTGCATGTATAGGAGCTACTTTGGCCTGGTAAAGTTTCCACTAGTGGGAATTCATTGGGTCTTTGCTTGTTTTAACCTTTCAAAACAACCATTTATTGTATAGGTAAGATGGGCATGTGTTCCTAATATTTAAGTTTTTTTTTTCAGAAATCCACAAAGGATAATCTCTATTTCTCTGCTGCATCCTTTCCAGATTTTGTTTCAGTGACACAGAGAGAGAACACACACTGAAGTAAGGTTTGGGGAACTGAATCTGGAGAGACTGGGGAGACGAGAGAAGTCTACCATGGGAGATAGATTATCCGTCCACATAGGCATTCCCTCATTAGGGGCTCCCTTCCCACCTGGAGCCCTGGCTAAAAGTCATCATGATTCTCTGTGCTGGAACCTTGCCTTCTTTTTATTGTCCTGGAAGTCCCGGCAGGCATTCCTCAAGAGTGCTGATTAGGACCCGGGATGCAGCTGCTTCACTGGGTGTCTGTTCTTTTCACCTGACACAGTCCAAGGCCTGCACCTCCCGGGAACTAAAGGGTGCACTGCCCAGAGCAGTTACTCTACCCAGCTTACTCTCTTTCCTCCCTGTCTGTGTTAAACTCCTGACTTAGCTGTCTCCCATTTGTAGTCCCTACCTACCCCCAGCCTTCCTGGATCCATTCTAACTCATCCCTAAGGCATTGGCTTATTATTTACCCATCTTGCCATCTCTGCTGGCAAGCAATATCCCAAACAGTGTGCTCAGTACACTGACACAGGGCTAGAAGAGGAGCCAGGCACAGATCATTTGTTTGTGTTCCACAGAGAGCACAGCCTCCGCTCCCTCCCAAAGGCGCCCTCAGAACTTACAGTCTGTCTAGTGCAACTGCTGAATTGTGAAATGACAGACCACATGAGTGCCTGCATGAACAGGACGCTAAAGAAGCCAGAAGTAACAGCAGCTAGACACCATGAAGAATTAGCTTTCGGCAGAGTATGGGGCATTCCCCAACTATCCACTGAAATGAAGGTAATAATAACCTTTTCTTGGATTTCAAGACCATTTATCTTTGAGGTTATGGCCCTCAAAGATAATTCCATGTTCCATATTCCAGCTTTCATAAAGTAGATGTTTATTGGAGGTGAATATTTATTGCTGAAGGGGCCTGTTAACCAAATGACCACTCCTAAACAATTTAGCAAGGCACAGCATACATTATGCCAATTTGAAGCTAATACATTTTATATCTTGAGTGTTTAAGATATAAATGACTATAATTAGCTAGGAAATAGTAAAACCTTGACTTGCTCTGAGCAGCAATGACAGAAGAAATGGTCCAAGAATCTTGTCTAAATAATGCTCAGAGCTGAGGCATATGTGTTCACCCTTTTAAACCTTTAAGGAATAGATGATTGCCACATCATATATAAAACATCTAGTCACATACCCTAAGGTGGAAGTTACTAAGTTCATTACAGGAAGATGGAAAACCTTGAGACTGGAGAGATGCCTCAGCAGTTAAGGGCCTTTGCTTCTCCTCCAGAGAACCCAAGTTTGATTCCTAGTACCCATGTCAGGAGGCTCAAAATTACCTGTAACTCTGGCTCCAACGGATCCAATGCCTTCTTCTGGATACATTTGGCATGCATATGCACACACGTATTGAGCATGCCCCCACGCAAACATACACATAAATAAAAAATAAAATAAAGATATAAAAATTTATACTAAAGCTTGATAAATATAATGAATGCACAGGAAAAAGCATAAACCGTACCCCTCATGATAATACATTTTAAAAGTCACAATAAAAGCACAGCTTGGTGAGAATACAGTAGCTTCCACTAAACCATAGTGATGTCTTCGCAAAGCTCACCTTCTGGGTTCCTAGCACCCCAGAACCACGAGCTACATCACAAAGCACAGTAGAAGGTCAAGAGTGGTGATATACACCTCCAATCCAGCACTTGAGAGGCAGAGGTTGGAAGGTGGAAAGGTTGCAAGTTCAAGACCAGCCTGGTCTGCATAGCAAGTTCCAGGCCAGTCAGCGTTACATTCAAGACCTTATCTTCCAAAACAAGCAAAAAGAATGCAGTAGAGACAGTTACACACTCATTTATAAATGGAGCTGGATTCAGAATTCTCCAGGGCAATCCTGTCTCTACTCTAATTTGAGCCAAGAGCTGGAATAACACTCTGGGCACAATCCAGAAAAAAATGGAGCTCTTTCTGTGTGGGGACCCTGGGTACCCAGGCCTATGACTGTAGAAGGAGGTAACTACTTGAAGGTATTACCTTCTACCATCGCCTTGAGCAGGAACAGAGGAAAGCAGGTGCCAGAGAAGAAAACAGCAACAGAAGAATTTCAACTGTGGAAGCTGTCATTGGCATTTGTGGTTGGCAGGGGCTGTGTGCCTGCTGTGAGTAGGAGGGGATGCTGCCATCCTGCCTGGCCTCCCTGCAGCCTCCCTGGCTCCTCCCCAGCAGGGGAGATCACGAAGGAGATAATCAATGGCAGGCAGCCTCCAGGCAGGGCTCGCCCATGCTGCCCTAATGACAGCAGGCATCTGCTCTGGTTGGATTGCCCCAGGCCTGGTGGCCCAGTCATCCTGCCCTGCCACTGACATGTCTCCTCATGGAAAACACTGGAGCTTTATACATCTACTTTTCTTTGGGCCTGTCCTCCATTCTTCCTCAGATACCTTTACTGACACAAAGCAGAAAAGCTTTGTAAACTGAAAAGATGAATGGCTGTTGGGATCTAAATTACCCACACACAAGCTATCACCCTTCACTCTAGGATCACCTGTGGGGATGTCAGGTCGTTGCCTTCACTGCTCATTTGTAAGATGGGCTGCCTCTACAGAGAGGAGAGACATGAAGAATGTGGTCCATGATACACATTTTAGAAGCACATGGGGGCTTCAGCCCCGCCTCTGCAGGGACTTACTGGGGACATGATAACGAATAGATCACTCTGGACCTCAGTTATTGCTGTGTTTGTAAACTGGGACCCAAATCCTGCCAATTGTGTCATTATATTACTGACCACACATGCACAGGCCTTCAAACCACCCGTACTCAGTGGATCCTTCCTGTCATGGCCATTATCATCACCTGCTGATTTTAATTATATTCCCCTTTTTGATGAAAATTAAGTGAGATGAGAGAGTATCTGGAATCAATTGCTAAATTAGTGTTATACACAGCAATGTCACATACTATGTCGCAACTTTGGTGTTCCTGATATCCTGTCCACAAACTCCTCAAAGTATTTACTTAGAAAACACATCTCAGAGTAGGGTCACTCATGAACCTTTTGGAACATTTTATTGCTATTATCCAAGTCTAGGTTATATTACAATAATATGGACCCTTTTAAATTCCAAGTGAGGGGACCAAAATCAGGATGTGTGTGTGTGTGTGTAGAATTCATCAAACAAGATTACTTCAAAATAATAACGACAGCTGTTTCACACCAGACAAGTTGAGAACCCAATAGCTGCAGGGGCCTTGTGGCTGCTGCCCCAACTGTTGAAGTCCCACTATGGCTTCTTACACCAGAGAGGGAGAGGCCCACAACCCTGTCATTGCTCGGGCCACAGGACTGGCTGCCTCAGCAGTTCCATTCTGGGGCTGAAGACGGCACAGGGTTCTGGGAGAGCCACTTGTCCTCAGTCAGTGTTGGAAGCCTCAAACACTGCTCCTAAAATCATCAAAAGAACCATCAGCAGATGTAACAGCGTAAATCAATTCTTGTACCCTGGATCACAGGCCACAGAAGAAGCCCTGCTGTGTTCTCTTGTATTTCTGCTTATGCCAGATGGATCAACCAAGACAGGAGCTGGTTTTTCTCTCTCAAGATCTTCCTGAAGGCCAGAGGTAAGAGTTTACTGATTTACTTATACAATCAAAACTTGATTGTTAAAATCTCTCTCCAGTCCCCATAACACTTGTTAAGAGAAGCTTTTTCCTTTGCTAGCCGTTTTGGTTTATCCCCCGCCAGTCACCTGGGCTCTGCCGCGCCAGCCTGGTTCTAGATCCGCATGAGTCCCAAATAAACACACAGGAGGCTATATTAATTATGAAGCTGTTGGCCTTGCTTGTCCCTTACTGGCTAGCTCTGCCTTAAGTAATTACCCCATAATTGTTAATCTAAGTATGTTTCTTACCGGAGAATAGTTCCCGGCTTCTTACCCCTATGGCGTCACATGTCGACTCTCTTGAGTTTCTCCTTCCCAGAGTTCTCCTGGACTCCTAGTCCCTCCTATCTAGGTTTCCTATAGGCTCAACGGTACTTTATTGACAAATGCACAGGACTTCCCCCAACATCTCCTCTTTTCTGTTTAAACAAAAAGAAAGGTCTTAACTTTGACATAGTCAAATCATATATAACAGAACAGTTATCAAGTAAGAATACAGTTACAATATTTTGTCTATCAACATTCAGCAAGATTTAAAGAAAATATCATCTATCTCATTCTTGTGAGTCCAAAGTCCTATATGTAGCTTATCTTTTATCATAACTAAGGAAAACTATAATTATAACTATCTGTCTTCAACTCCATCAAAGACCACAGAAGAATAATATAAAAACACTAGGATTGACAAAGATATATTACTACCTGGACAGTCACCCGAAGTTTCTCTGTAACGTTGGGGCATCCATCTTCAGCCCATAGGCCACAATGTGTCTGGAACACTTCTCAGCAAAGCAGGAAATTTCAAACTGTCCATCTGCGTTGGCAGTCTGTCAGTCATTTTTCTTTGTCCTGCAGAAAGTCTCGTAGACTCTTCATGAAGCAGGAACCCTGTAAGACTGAGTTCAGTAGTCACTTTCCTGTAGGTCCTGCATGTCCAGATGATACAACAACAGTCAAACAATCTAGGCAAGAGCAGTTTCTTGCCCAAATGGCTAATCTTGCCATGTTGAAAGCAAACTTTATAATGAGTTTCTTCGATGCCCATCTTCCTCTCAGACGTAATTGGTGCTGCCAGGAGCAGACATTGTCAAGAAAAACCCTAAACCATTTTAAATGCCATGTTCTGAAGGTCTTTGAGAGGTTTGAAGACTGTCCATCTCAAATATATTTCTGTATATCTAGAAAACCTAACTTATGTAACTATAAATTCTATTATAAGTAACTATCTATAGTCTGTATTCAATTATGCATTACGTTGTAAAAGATCAGTATAAGCACAATACTTAATCAAGAGGAGAAATATACACATCACAAAATTGACCTTGATTTTGTCTCAATAAATGAAAAACAATACCCATACCATAATTCCCCTTTTTACCATTAAAAAAGATTGGCTGTGATCACTAGCCAATTATAAACAATCCCATTTAAATGAAAACAAAGATTTATAACCAAGATGGGAATTGGGACGTCGCTCATTCCAAACTGCTTCCTGCTGGAAGGGGGCGCTGTTTATACCATGGGGATCATGACAAAACTCAGAAACCTGTATAAGTCCATATTTTCGGGGTCTGTAAGACTGCATCATCTTCGCTGTTTCGATTGTTGGAACACCTGGTCCACTGCTTCCGGGGGTCTTGGTTCGTCAAACCACAAAAGCCTGGAAGGAATCCTTAGCTTTTCATTTTCTGTAGAAACATAAATAAAAACTCCTTTTCCGAGTAACATATCCTTATGCTTAAATTTTGAAGTCAAGGTATTTTCAAAAGATATAAGTTGTATTAATTTAGCAGCATTTATAATCAAGTGTACTTTAGTAGCAGTTCCTTCCTGAGCAAGCAAAAAACTGAAAAACACAATAGCGTACAGTATCCAGACTCTCTGTGTATTTTCCATCTTTACGTGGCTTATTTATTTATCTATTATTACTTTATTTATTTTTCTTTGAGACAGGATTTCTCTTTGGAAATCTGCCTGCCTCTGCCTCTGGAGTAAATCCTACCGGCGTGTGCCACCACAACGCCGGCTTTTGTATTTATATACCACTTTGTCATTTCATTTTCTCTCTCAATCTCACGTATATTTTTGAACACACTGTAAACCTTTAGAGGCTTTCCTTTATCCAAGTCTGACTTTACTGTAAATCTTTATGTTTTTCTGGCCACGTGTCTTATCTGTAAAACCGCGGCTGTTTTAAACTGCCGTTTCAAGATGGCGGGCGTAAGCGTGACTCCAGTTTACCGCCTCAGTCCATGCTGACCTCCAGCAAAAGCTGCCACTTCCAGCTGTACGTACACACCTTTCAATCGTTAGCAGAGTCTCTTAAAACAACCTTGTTGGTTTTTTTTTTCCTTTTCTTTTTCTTTTTATGCCGAGTCAGGAAGACTTCAGTAAGCGAGCCACGTGAATCTCGGCTTGTAGATAGCAAAACAGAGCGCACCTGAGAAAAATGCTGCTACCAAAATCTGTGCTTCTCTCTGTTCTTCTGTTTCTAAAATTCCTTTAACACTTTTGTTGTTTTGCGTGGAAATTCAATCCCACTTCTGACACCATTCTGTTAAGAGAAGCTTTTTCTTTGCTAGCCGCTTTGGTTTATCCCCCGCCAGTCACCTGGGCTCTGCCGCGCCAGCCTGGTTCTAGATCCGCATGAGTCCCAAATAAACACAAGGAGGCTATATTAATTATGAAGCTGTTGGCCTTGCTTGTCCCTTACTGGCTAGCTCTGCCTTAAGTAATTACCCCATAATTGTTAATCTAAGTATGTTTCTTACCGGAGAATAGTTCCCGGCTTCTTACCCCTATGGCGTCACATGTCGACTCTCTTGTCTTTCTCCTTCCCAGAGTTCTCCTGGACTCCTAGTCCCTCCTATCTAGGTTTCCTATAGGCTCAACAGTACTTTATTGACAAATGCACAGGACTTCCCCCAACAACACTGACTACCCTTCCCCACAGACCTACCCCCAGCACCCCTGTGGCCACCAGAGGATACCACAGCCAACAGTTAATGGAGGACCTTGGGCTCAGCAGACCACAGCCCTAATATACAGTTCTATCCACTCTAATTCGAGGACCCAGAACTGTACAGTTATTAAATGTACTGTGAATCATCACCCCTGCTGGAAGCCGCATGAAATAACTGATGTGCTTTAATAATCTGACATTTTCTGATAAGCCTTGAAGTCCCTCATGAGTTTTATTACCCAAACCCCAACAAACAGGTGGTGTTTAAGTAATCTTTCCTGGCATTCACACGATAGAGCTGAGCTAGAACAGAACAGAGTACAGGCTTCTCCACCAGGAGCCAGTCAAGGTTAGCATTCAAAGTAATGTCCCCTCACCTCAGGTTTCGCTTTTTGTATTCATGTACTTCTATTTTAGCCCACTCTGGCTAATTTAGGCATCTACCAGCATTTTTGGGGGGAAACATTCCCATAGGTATAGACAATGAAAGAAAAAGAAAATTACTTTGATTTTAATAAGCATGCAGAATACTTGTTACTCAAAAGCAGGCTGCATTGTAAGTAGTCATTTGAATGATGATGCTACCTGCTCCAACCACTATTGCTTGGACTTTTTTTTTGTCTTGTCTGACTTTGAATTTCTTTCAGAACCTACACTACTTTCTTTCAACTACCTAAATTATGCTGAATTTGGGCCTTTTGAAGAAGGATTTGATTTTCTTAGAAAATCATTTGCAATCATGTCTAGTGAATGACATGACTTTATCACATTGAGAAATACGTTCTTCAGTATTTTTTTTGTTAAAGTTTCTTTTTGGCAGAGAGAAGAATGTAGATGCAGAAGCAACTTATTATTATTTGATAATAACCCACGGAGTCTAGTTAGTGCTGCCCATACACGCATGGGTGTGGGCCACCTACCAGGGCCCCCAGTAGCCATCAGCTGCCAATAATTCAGCAGCAAAAGATTCTTTCCTTACTATTGCCCGAGAGGTTCTTTTTGTCTTTGCCTGGTGAATTGATAAGGGGTAGATGATAATTGGTTAGGCATTAGTAGAAAATCTTTAGCCTGTAGTGACTAGTCCTCCATAAGACAGAATAAATTTTGGAGTTAATTTGTCGGTCCATAGAAATGGGCCCATGGAGAAGGAAGTAATCAAGGAAAATTGCTACAGATTAAATTCTATAAAAAGAAGTTTATCATCTATCTATCTATTACCTATTTATCTATCGATAATATATAAACTATCCATCTATATATCATTAGCTAATCTATCTATCATCTATCAATCCTCTAGTCTATCTTCTGTCTATCTATTCTATCTGTCATCTATTGATCTAATCTGTCTATCTGTCATCTCTGTCATTGCCTAATAATCTATAATCTATTCATCCATTTAGCCATCACCTTTCTATCCACTAATCTATCTACCTATTCATCTATCTATCATCTATTTATCTATCGATAATATATAAACTATCCATCTATATTTCTTTAGCTAAACTATCATCTATCTACCCTCTAATCTATCTATCTATCTATCTATCTATCATCTATCTATCTATTCTATCTAACATCTATCTAACTAATCTGTCTATCTGTCATATCTGTCATTGCCTAATAATCTACTTACCTAATCTGTCTATCTATCTATCTATCTATCTCTCTATCTCTCTATTTTTTTTTCTTTTGGTTTCTCTGTATTGTTTTGGAGGTTGTCGGTCCAGCCTGGCCTCAAACTCACAGAGATCCACCTGCCTCTGCCTCCCAAGTGCTGGGATTAAAGGCGTGCACCACCACCACCCGGCTCTGTCTATCTATTTTTAAGGCCCATCTCTACCTCCTGAGTGTTGGGATCACAGGTGGGCTCTGCCTCACTAGACTAAAAGGGACCAACTTAATCATAAGTTAAGGAAGTTATAAGAAAACCAGTGCATCCCAGGAGCGTGATGTTTTGGGAATTTGGTGATGGCAGATAGGACTCTGGCTTTCCCATG